GGATTAGGATCCCATATTTTCCTGACAAGAGAATAACATCAATAGTGATTGAAATGGACCAATATTGAATTGTAGTTTGTGTTTTTAATTTCGAATATTATGGCAAATATTAAGTTAGAGGTTTAGTCCCTTTAACGTATCCGTGTGTCATTTTCATTTTTGAGAAAATTTCAAATTTTCCACGGTTGATTCCACGCTAAGATGTACTAGAATTGATTTTGATCTTTTATTTAACAGAGCATTATGTAAAATTTAGATAAAGAGCTGGCCGTTCTCGCGATAATATTTCAAAAATAGATAGTGCAAAAAAGAATATATTAAAAATTTCATTCAAATTACATTATTTTGAGCAAAGTTATCAATGGTTGTAGTTTTGACAACTAATACCCAATAATGTCAAATACACATCACCCTTAATACACATATTAACCCTTAATACACATATTAACCCTTAATACACATATTAACCCTTAATACACATATTAACCCTTAATACACATATTAACACACATATTAACCCTTAATACACATATTAACCCTTAATACACATATTAACCCTTAATACACAAATTAACTCATAATACACATATTAACTCATAATACATATATTAACTCATAATACACATATTAACCCTTAATACACTATTAACTCTAAAAAAACAAAGTTGTACACACAGACAACCATACAAAAAATATTTATAAATACACATACAGGGTAATTCCGTTTAGCACTTTCTAAAATCAAATATATTTTTTATATTTTCAAATATCTTTTTCTGGGATTAAATTTATCTTGGATGACTCAAATATTGCAGTTGCTGATGCTCTCTAGCAGTGACATACCAAACACTTTTTGTATGACCATATAACCAACGGAGAGGGTGTTCTAACTTTCCCATGCCAAACAATTTATTAGCGTTAATTATCAAATCATTAAGCTATGGCATTTTGACTGAATCACTTATCTCTTTATAAAAAAAGGGCTGATAAATCCTACTTATAAAGACAATATGTAAAACACGTTGATACAAGCCTTGTGTAATATGTAACAGAATCCTTATTATCCATACATGTTACATGTACAACTCCCATATAGAGGATAATCTACCAATCTAAGGGATTAACATGACTGATCATTTTAAGTCTAAAGGGCTATACTATTGTTTTCATTTCAACAGACCATCAGGTATCACCATTGCTGTCTTTTCAGACCAATTTACCAGAAAGAATGGGGTTTAAGACCCACTTGACACAAACTAGGACCTGTGCTGTCTTTTCAGTAAAATTTACCAGAGAGAATGAGGTTTAAGGTCCACTTCGCACAAACTAGGACCAGTGCTGTCTTTTCAGACCAATTTACCAGAAAGAATGGGGTTTAAGACGCACTTGACACAAACTAGGACCAGTGCTGTCTTTTCAGTACAATTTACCTGAGAGAATGAGGTTTAAGGTCCATTTCGAACAAACTAGGACCAGTGCTGTTTTTTCAGTCCAATGTACCAGAGAAAATGGGGTTTAAGGTCCATTTGGGGTATGAGACTAAAACATGGTACCATTATATTTCAACAATTTAACTGCCTATGTCTTTATCAGTGGGAGTGAACCAGAGGACCCGGAGAAAACCCACAGAGTTGGGAAGGCAACCCTTTCCTTGTCATGTACAAGCCTGGGATTGAAACCAAGCTACCTATATCTTTATCAGTGGGACTAAACCCAAGGACCCAGGGAAAACCCACGGAGCTGGGAAGGCAACGCTTTGTCTTGTCATGGACTAGCCTGGGATTGAAACCACATCACTTGCCTCAATGACAGACCAGATGATCTAAAGAGCACACAACGTACCACTTGACCACCCAACCTGCCTTATTCACCCTTTTAGTCCTTAAACTATGAAGTGTTGATAAGCTATAAAAATAACACTTTTCATTTTGTCAGACATTACAAGGGTGAATTTGGATATATAAATTTAACTCTTTTCATTTTGTCAAACAACGGTGAATTTGGCATTAAAATAGTTGGGAGACAAGAATGATTTTAGCTTTATGGTTCAGCCAATGAACAAATTTTGTGAAAGAGCAGACATTTTTTGGAGATTTGCAACCTGGGTTGCATTCCAAGATTTTTTCATACACACCTATTATGTTTAAATCTTTTAAAACTAAGTGCATAAACTCACATCAAGGGGGCAAGAAAGAGAGGTGAGTTCTCTAGGTCTTTTAACGGAGTGACCTCAATAGGTAAGCCTCTATAAACAGCTACAAAGCCAGGCAAGTTTGACGCACAAAGCAAATATGCAAGAGATAATTCGCTTGTCTGTATCAGTCCAGCTATTGTCAATCTCCCTGAACACACAAACTCTAGCCCTCTACTAAAACAACCTGGAGCCCATAGGAAGAAAGAAATTGCAAAGTTTATGTTTTAAATCCACTTCCTTCAGCAGTAAATAAACAACCACTGGCTTTTATGTGCCTGGTTGTATCTCCTCATATTATCTCCTCTTCCACAAATAAAAGAACCCAAAAAATTATTTATTTTACACCTACTTACTAAGTTTTACTTAATTTTCTTGACGCATTGTCATCTATATGGGGACAGAGTATCCTATTTCTTCTCCCAATAATGACTTTAAATATTCCTGGTGCTGCACGAGACATGACGGTATGCTCTTGTTATGTCATTTGAAACAAAAAGTGGGTAGGCTTTACGAATATTTGTGAATCTTCTTGACTGAGATTAGATAAAAACTTGCTAAGGTTATCTCGAGTAGAAGTAGATTTATTTAGCAGGGTTTGTTTATTCTAATAAGAATAAAGTTAGACAAATCAAACTACTTGTTAACTGGTTTTTTTTTTATAAATCCCACAAGCTCAAGAACAACACGATCTGTTGGTTGTCTTTATACTAGATAACAATGTGAAATTTGAAAGCAGTTTGGATCAAAAGTAACCTAAACTAAAATATGCTTCGATAAACATTAGTACAATTCTGAACACATACGAATTTAAAATTTACTCTTATCATGATAGACCACCAAATCCCTTGAAAATTTCTTTCAATAAGCTTACAGGCACGTACATGTACAACACCCAACCTATAAGGTGTATTTAAATTTTATTTAGTGATGTAAGTGTAATAACTGTCTAATATTTGATGTAAGTTTCATTCATGTATGCTGAGTAATAAACACATGTACTCATTCTCAATTCGTATACAATGTATCCCAGGCCCCTGTCACATTTTAAGTTAGGAACATTGCCTATACATGTACCAGGAATGTTGGACGTTTCAGCTACAGACGCTTTGGTCATAGAGTTTTTTAACCATAACCAGTAAGCTCCTAATATACCGGTAGCTCATATTTAACCTCTTTAACCAAAACAGTGTCCACAGTTCACCAGTATAACTATTATCCATAAATCTGTCATATCTCTGAGCTTTAAGTTAGGACCATTCCACAGATGCTTTGGCCATAGAGGTATTTAACCCTAACCAAAACAGCGTCCCCCAGGTACAACTGGTATAACTGTTATCCATAAATCTGCCATATATTTGAACTATTACTCAATTTAATTCAGTGAAATTTACAGACATCTTGTACACCTATCTTCACTTCATCATAAATAGTCTGAGATATCGATCATGACACCATGGCTCCTTTTGGCTACATGATGGGAAATGTTGATGGATGTCATGTGCTGTGAGGCAGGTTATGCTTTCTCTTTCTAACAAACCTGATTTCATGTTTCATCCATTTTGAAAGTTCAATTAGCTAAGAATTTTTTGGTTAAATTGCATAATAATTGAAGAAAGCGGGAAAAAAAGAAAGATATTTAATAACTGTTCCCATTAAATGCTATAACAGGCATATATCTTTTCAAATTGGTTGCCAGACTGACTTTATTTCCCTGTTGTCAATGAAAATTATTCAACAGAAAAATAAACTACCTGTTTTTAGTGCTGAATCACTGAATAATAAACTAATGTGATATGGCTAATAATTCACAGTTACTAACTCACAGCTGACAGTTAATAGCTAATAATGCAGGTTGGGACCTATTTTTTACTTGAATATCATTGATATTACACATTGCATTAATATGATTTTTGAATAATTTATATGTTGAGTGTATTAAAATAATAATAATAATTTATAACACAATAATACAAGCTATTAACAATGTGTAACATATTTCACTTTGAGGTTTAATAAAAAACCATGATTTTATTTAAAAAGACTGGACAATTAAATTAATACAAGGCTTGTTAGGAAACCTCAAAGAGAAATATGTTACACACTTTTAATAATGTGTATTAAATATCTTGTTATAAATTATTATTATTGGGAATGGCTGCATTTAAATTATCGATCAAGGCAGTCACAAAGTCACAATAAACACTTGAATTTATAAAAAAACTATTTTCTGGAAAAGCATAGCAGCATTCTTTAGAAATATTGAAAGCAAATATTAATATATAGATAGGTGTAAGAAATATAAAGATAGTTTTGAAAGATGGATGTCCAGATGGTATTTATTGTGTTCTGGAAAAGACATCTCCACTCTCCACATAAATGAAATATTATGAAGAATGGTCCTGGTAAGTTTGGCCACTGAATAGATCCAAGTTCTTATCTACAAATTTCGTATTTTTAAACTTTGTTTTGTGAGATTTCGTATAAAAGGATGAATTATTGAATTGTGATATCTGTGTAAAAATTAAATTAACAAAAAACGGAAAAACAAAATTAATTCCTATTTAGAAAAAAAAGACCTTTAAGTACTAAATAGCTTGGAATTGGTGAATATATTTCCAGAAAAACTGACTAATGCCGTTATTTCATTTTGTGCTGGAAAAATGTAAACACGCTTCACAGGCCATATAACTGTTTTGACAAGCCGTGTTTTGGCTGCAATTTCAACTGATTAGGACAATCTAAACACAGTAGAACAAAAACCAAAAGAAACCACAATACACAATTCGTTTCACAGTAATTTAATTACCTGCATAGTAGTTATTCCGATTTCATCGTTACTTAACCACCGCAATCTGGCAGACAGTTTTTGGGATTCGTGTTGAATTACGATTCCCCCGAGCATTTTGGGGCTGACATTTTCTTGTCTATTGTCAGTAACGTATCCATCGTTATCTGTATCCGCTGTTCTTCTGTGATGTCGGGCCCCTAAGTTCCTTAATTTTATGCGATCCGAATTCACGCCATTATTTCCAATCCAATTATTGTCATCCTGCAACGTAAAGTCCACACGATGCATCAAAAGAAGGACAGAAAGCCACAGTTGAATGAAATCAACATGCCAGTCTTTGGTCCAATAAGTCGCCATGTTGAAAAACACTGGTCAGATATTGGGAATATTATTCCCGATATACTATAAACCTCGGAATTATGAACTTATGACATAGCAGTTACACATATGTCCCATATTATATTCCATATCACTACGTCATTGCAATTGCAATACTGTCCGATTATCACACATTTTAATGAGCGACCTATGCGGTCTACATCTCTCCTTTGACTTCATCAGTTCATGTAGTTGGTATAGCCAGCGAATAGCGAGTATTATATTTTATTAGACAGAGCTAAAACTCGGTCACGCGCAGTTTCGCACAAACTTCTCGTACGCAGTGCGGCTACATAACGGTAGTTGATAAAACATGGCGGCCTCCATGATTAACTTGTGCAGACGATGTTTGCAAACAAGTTTTCCATTTTTATTGGCTACACACCCTGTCAGAAGAAAACTTCCACACTATCTTCGACAAGAAATTGAGACCAAATCTTTCCATACTCAATCAGGTATATTAATTACTTTTTTTAATCGATAAACAAAATGTCAACATTGTGTTGATATAAATCGTTTATATTATAACGTGCTTTTTTTTTTTATTGTGTGTTATTTATCACAGAGCCTATAGAATGAAATGAAATGAAATGGGGTTTAGCATCCTACTGTTCTGCTCCTGACTGGGCTAATGAAGACAGGCATACACCATACAGAATACAGTGTACTATGAGGGAAATTTTGCCTGGGCACCGGCACTATGGCCCAAAGCCAAGCTTAACCGGAGTGGGGCCCTGGAGTGGGCCTGACTAGAATCGGGGTCCGCTAACGCGATGAAAAGATTATTTCATATTCTTTTGAATGGCACGCATGCATAACACCCAAGTAAACGGTCTGTAATACAAGAATAATTACATATTATATTTTGCCATGAAACGCGAGTCCCTCTAAGCCTAAGCTGGGCTTTGCTATGGCCTACTATTATATCGAATTCCAACTGCCAAGGGACCTTTTATGTGCACGCCAATGTGTACAAGGGACCTCAGTTTTTCATCCCATCTGAACGACTTGACAGCTGTCCTTGTCAGGCCCTCCATACTGAACCACTGACAACGGAAAATTCTGATGAACATTCTCAGTCACACGACAGAGCTTATAACATGATTAATAAGGTAAATTAAGGACTAAGTAGGCCTATTATTTAGAAAATAGTGGTTGGTTATGTCAGCTAAATATAGATTTTTAAAGAGACATTATCTATATTACTTTGTAAAGAAATTAAATGGATAACATTCAACTTTTCTGCACCAGCCGGGCTAATGAAGACAGGAACTATCTCTGATCGGACGCTGACAGTTCCTATGGCTTTCTATATAGCTGTATTATGAAAATACGGTAAAACACCTCTGTTCTCAGGCTATTTTTCACCGTGAATGTTTATTTTTCACAAAAGGAATCATTTCTCGTCATATCTGACACAAATTTTTATTATTGCAATATCAATATAAAAATCCACAATATATTGCCATTATTGCAATATTACACTGCTTCCAGACAAAAGGCTCAAAAAGAGGTGACAAACCGTTCAAACAGATTTCTATGAGAAGCATGTCAATTTAAATCATTGTAAGGTCAAACTTACGTTTCAATAAAATATAATATTCTTTCAGAGAATATTACTAGGGAAAGAGAGATATATTGGATTATTGCGGTATCAAAAAATATTATTGTCAGTAAAATTTACATATTCTGATTTATTGATTTATAAAAGTTATTGTCCAGCTCTAGTTAAACAAAACGTCTGCCTTAATACAGCTCTGTCGAATATGGATTTATGTATGACCAATCTGATTTATACTTTGTTTCAATAAAAAAACAATAATCTTTGAGAGAATATTGTTGGAAATGAAATGAAATGGGGTTTAACGTTGGGGGAATGGCAATAATCTATAGTCAAACGATATATTGGATTATTGCAGTATTTTTAATGGTAAAAAAAATATTGTCAATCAAATTTACATATAGCAATATATTGATTTAAAACCCATTCCTTTGATTTCCATGAATATGTATGGTGGCTTAATGCCTTAATGATTGTATTTGTATGGACTATTTTCATTTATCAGGACCACTGCGCAATGGTGAATTTGAAATGCAAGATCCAAAGTCTGAAGATGAAGTGTAAGTTTTTATTTTCTAGATATTTTATGTTTCAAACTCATTTTTATACCCACATATGGAAATGTGGACGTATATTGCCGTCGCCCCCGTCTGTCCGATTGTTTTAAAATTGATATATGTTGTTTACATTAGTGAGATGAAGAAGCCTATTTAATTTCAATAATTTCCGTTTATTACGTCTAGAGTTATGGCCCTTGTTTCACTTAGTTAGACCTTGTGAACGCTCTAACGCCAAAAGTTATCATCTTTGTTGGACCTTGTGAATGCTCTAACGCCAAAAGTTATCATCCGATCTTTGTGAAATTTATATGCATTATTTGAATTAGTGAAACGCGGAAGCCTTTTGAATTTCAGCAATTTCCATTTATTAGTCTAGAGTTATGGCCCTTGTTTCACTTCACTAACGCCAAAAGTTATCATCTGATCTTTGTGAAATTTATATGCATTATTTGAATTAGTGAAGCGAAGAAGCCTATTGAATTCCAGCAATTTCCGTTTGTTATGTCTAGAGTTATGGCCCATGTTTCACTTTGTTGAACCTTGTGAACTCTGTAATGCCAAAAGTTATCATCTGATCTGTATGAAATTTATATGCATCATTTAGATTAGTGAAACCACAAAGCCTATTGACTTTCAGCAATTTACAATAATTACTTCTAGAGTTATGGCCCTTGTTTCACTTTGTTCACTCTTGATAATGCTCAATTGATGAAAGTTATCATCCGATATGTATGAAATTTATATGCATCATTTAAATTTGTGAAACGGAGGTCTATTGAATTTCAGCAATTTCTGTCAATTATTTCTAGAGTTATGGCCCTTGTTTTACTTTGTGAACCTTGTGACCATTCGAATGACAAAAGTTATTATCCGGTTTCCTCCTATTGCTAAAGATCCCTATGCACAAGCAAATTATTGAAATAAAATTGAACCATATGTTAGTCCCGAAATGACCTGGTTTGTGTCGAGTGGACGTTAAACCCCATTTCTCTCTAGAGAAAGAGCTGGCCATTGTTTAAAGTTTTGACAAAAAATAATGATAAACTGCCGATCATTGGCAGATGGAAAGTCCACCCATAGTTCATATTCTCAATGGCCATGATGATAACTGATTCTCGATTAGCAGTCCCTTTGTCAGCAGTCTCATACCATATTAGCATTTAATGCAGATGTGGCAGGCAATGACCTTTCCAATCAATATTTAAGCCATCCCATAGTCTGGGGTGTTGATTTTAGTCTGGACATGTTAATAAATGTCTAAATAATAGTTTATATAACATTTGAAGCCAGAAAAACATCAATCATACCATCAAACTGACTATTGGTAGATTTAACTGATTGTGGTATGCATGGACTGTAATAGACTGGCCTTTAGTCTGTGACCCTGCACGAATCTGATCAGGTTTTGTAATAGACTGGCCTCCTAGATCAGGTTTTGTCTTTTTTTCATAGACTGGACAAGAATCCCACCACTGCACAAAAAGGTAGTCCTTACCATGGGATGATAAATTACACCACTTTACAAAAAGGTAGTCCTTACCATGGGATGATAAATCCCACCACTGCACAAAAAAGTAGTCCTTACCATGGGATGATAAATCTCACCACTCCACAAAAAGGTAGTCCTTACCATAGGATGATTAATTCCACCACTGCATAAAAAGATATAGTCCTTACCAGGGGATGATAAATTGAGAGCTTAAAAAAATCGAAATATTAATAATATGCACATGGACTGCTAATTCCTCTTTTAATTGCTGCCTTAATTGCAGACAAATTCCATTTGACAAATCCTGAATCTGTGCATGACAGTGTCTGTGACAGGTGCCTTATTTCCAGGCTTAATTTCCGGTGTCCTTTATTTATCTAATGGGTTTGACCAGTTGTTGTCAAATTTGTGGGGGTGGGGGGGGGGGCGGGGAGTATTTTAAGATTTGTAACAAGCTACTCTCTTCGAGTACCATACACATGTACTATGTTTTGGTGTTTATTTCAGTGTGAACATAACTTTTATTGACAAACAAGGAAAGAGGATTTGTGTTCGTGGTAAAATAGGTGATAATGCAATGTACTTAGCCCACAGATATAATATAGAACTAGAAGGTATAAACTTATATCCATTCTACCAGTAATTAAACTCAACCTCCCTGTACAACATTTAATGTGGGAATATTGTCAACTTTTGTGTTTCTCATGGGTCATATGAAATGAAATGGGGTTTAATGTCCTACTGTTCTGCTCCGACTGGGCTAAAGAAGACAGGCATATGCCATACAGTGTGCTATGAGGGAAATTTTGCCCGGACTGTGGCACTACAGCCTACTCTTATATCAAACTCCAACTGTCAAAGGATCTTTTACGTGCACGCCAATGTATACACGGGATCTCGGTTTTCCATCACACCCGAATGACTAGAGCGCTGTCCTTGTCAGGCCCTCCGTCCTGCATCACTGACAAGGGGGAACCATGCCGGAAAATCTGGATGAACTTTCTCGGCCAATGAAGGGACCGAACACCCGACCTCCAGGCTAGCGAGCCAGCGTCCTACCCACTTAGCCACCGTGACCCCCATATGAAAAGAACTCTAACTAAACTCAGAATTGGTTTCACCAGAAGTCAGACCACCATTTACTCGTCTATTTTGGTACCCACAAATCTACTTGCTTCTGTTAATAGTCTTTCTCTAACTTGCCATTTTCCCATCTTTATCAGCCCAGTCGGAGCAGAACAAAAGGACATTAAACCCTATTTTATTTCATTTCTCTTTCCCATTCCCTTTTCTCTCCTTTTATATGCCAGCTGTGAAGTAGATAATTCAACCTAACGAAAAATTGGGGAAAAGTTGGGGCTGGGCAAGGACTTCAGAATTAACATTAAAGTCAATGGGGAAATTAATGGTGGTCTGCCTCCTTTGCAGATCAAAGGGTTAGCTCCTGGTATATATTCTAATTAACTCAAGGGTTAGCCCCTGGTATATATTTTAATTGACAAGGGTTAGCCCCTAGTATATATTTTAATTAACTGAAGGGTTAGCCCCTGGTATATATTTTTATTGACAAGGCTTAGCTCCTGGTATGTATTTTAATTAACAAGGGTTAGCTCCTGGTATGTATTTTAATTAACAAGGGTTGGCCCTTGTATATATTTTAATTAACAAAGCTTAGCTCCTGGTATGTATTTTAATTGAAAGGTTACTGTTCCTACTGTTATTTTTTTACAGGTGCATGTGAAGCGAGTTTAGCATGTTCCACATGTCATGTTTATGTAAATGAAGATTATTTTGATCAGTTACCAGAACCGAAAGAAGAGTAAGAATTTTGAGCTAGTACTTTGCTAATTAAGTTAAAAAATTAAATTTGTTATTACAGTCTTCTATTTGGTGCAATTAATTAAAACTTCATTATGCTTCCTATTTTACTGATGAGAGCCATGGTGGCTCAGTGAGTAAACGCTAGTTCACTAATTAGGAGGTCACAGTGTTCGCCCAGAAAGCTCTTTAGGAGTCTCCAGTTCAAGTTTCCCTTGTCACTGGTACATCTTGGGACTGCCCGAGAAGGCCCCTTGTCACTGGCACCGCATGAAATGGTCACTGGCACAGTATCAGAGGGTCTGGCAAGGCCCCTTGTCACTGGCACAGCATGTGAGGGTCTGGCAGGGCCCCTTGTCTCAGGCACAGCATGGGATGGCCTGGGAAGTCCCACTGTCACTGGCACAGCATGGGACGGCCTGGCAAGGAGAAAACATCTTGCTTTACATTTTAACGAAAAACCAGGGTCACATTGGCATCATTGTAAAAGAACCCTTTGCAGTTGGAAATGCCACTGACAGTGTAAAATTTTCCCTCATAGTACACTGTATGGCATATGCTCGTCTTCATTAGCCCAGTTGGTGTAGAAAAGTAGGACTTTGTAGCCCCTTTCATTTAATTTCCTGTGAAGTGTTCCCTAGAGTCTTTGATTAACTATTATAGGTACATTAAAATAATAACATTAGCCCATAAATTTGTGAAATATTTTTCAGGGAAGAAGACATGCTGGACATGGCACCGTTTTTAAAACCTAACTCTAGACTTGGTAAATATGTTTAGAAAGTCTTATTTTCCATATGATATTATTAGGAATCGTGCACAAACAATGCAGTTCAAAATATTTTTGCAATAGCATCTTGTTTTAAAAATATCATTTGAAAGGAAAAGGGCCTGTTGGACCAAATGTGGGTAGGACACTGAATGCAAGATTACAAAGTCCTTGGTTCAATTAAAAGTGAAAAATCACCACACAAAATCAAATTTAAGAGGGAATTTATTTTTTGTCAAAGTATCATTTGGAGATCTATAAACCAGTGTACCCCTGACCTGGCCCTTATTAGTTCCTGGTCTTACCCACCATAATGACTTTTTTAATGGCTTGTCTTAAAGATCATGTACTAACCAAGAGAGAAGAGGGGGGGGGGACTAGTTTGTATCATTGAGTCAAGTGGTGTGGTTTCGATTCCTCGCTTGTACGTGACAAGGAGTAGGATGGTCTGTCCAACCTCATGGGTTTTCTCTGGGTCCCCCGGTTTCCCCCCTCTCTGGACCTCTGGCTTGTGGTCGTGGTTTCGATCCCTGGACCTGGTGTGAGCGTATGTGGCTTGGAGATGGGGTGCCTTCACAACCTCATGGGTTTACTCCAAGTACTCCGGTTTCCTACCATAAAAAAGACCCCTGCACATGAAAATAAGACAACTTGTCTGTAATATCAGCATCAGTGGAAACAGACGTTAATCACTAAAAACAACAACAACATCTGCCTCAAGAGTTTTCTCCCCTGATTTTGATGTCATAATTACAATTAAACATACATTATGCAAGAGCTAAATCTGTCTATTGCAGGTCTTTCTTTAGGTTATCTAAATTATTAATTATGCATTAATTAACCTATCCAGACCATAATCAACTCTAGATGGCATCACTAGCCTACGATCTTTAGTGGATTGTGAGCCGATTTACTGCATAACTTTCCTTCACGATTTAATGATTAAATGGATAATCGAGACTATGCTGTTTATCGTACTGAATTTAGTAATGATGATCAAGGCTAGGCGGAAATTCAATCGCTCTGTTCTCGGTTCATAGTGGATCAATTTGAATGAAATTTTCAGCAAATTGCCTTTACATTATCTAGTTTTTAACTATTATAGTGAGAATTGCCAACTCGTTATCGAATTTCCCATAATGTATCTTTAAGTATTTAGTTTATGTGTGAATATTTATAATTTCAGGTTGTCAGATAATATTAAATAAAGATCTGGAAGGACTAGAATTAACTTTACCACCTGTCACTAGAAATTTTTATGTTGATGGTCATGTACCACAACCACATTGAAATTAAAACTATAGGCCTATAATATTCTAATGTGCACAGGATCCTCACAGACAAAAGAACAAACAAACAAAAAGATTCAAATTTTAGGAATAAAGAAATAGAATTCTGTGAGTGTCATATGGAGGGTGGTGCATATTACAAACAAACAAAAAGATTCAAATTTTAGGAATAGAGAAATAGAATTCTGTGAGTGTCATATGGAGGGTGGTGCATATTACAAACAAACAAACAGATTTTTTAAGTGGTACATTTTCTATTCAGTGTTCTTGAGTATCAAGGATATACAGTGTAATATACATGTAATATTTGATTATCCAGAAAACATTTAAAATTGCTGAAATATGATTGGTAACTGCAGTTATAAGGATCTGTGTGATGTACTGGTTGAAAATTGTGTAATAAGTATATCTTTTGCCATGATTCACACAAGAGACCTTCATTGCGGAAGATGTACATGCTATCAGGTCAGCCATAAGGGTGCCCTACTTGCCGAATGCCAATAGGATATTCTCAATATCAACCAGCTTGACTCACTTGCGCTGAATATATACCAACCTGTTACAGTGTCATCTTTAATATTAGCAAATATCTTCTCCTCAGTCGAATTAATATGAAACCATGAACAACTTCACACAGAAAATGGACAAAAAAGATAAACCAGATTGAACACCAGCCACATGAATGTTCAAATTTGTGTTCATGGATCAACTTTTTTATAATCAGCATTATATATTAAATTAAGATCTGTGAATATTCTTTTATGATGCACCCCTAAAGTGATATGCAGTTCAGTGCAACAGAGTTGCAAGGGTAAAAAAAGAATATTTTGAATTTACAGGTTTGCTAATTGAAAATTGAAATATTGAAAGAATGCAATCAAATGATTTCTATCTCAATTCTACTTCCAAAGACTGCATTTACATTCTGTCGTAATAATACAGTAATATTTATATAGAATTTGAAAGAAAAATGGCAAATTTCTGAAAATGTTGGGCATTAATTAAGCTTGGACCCCCACTATACAATTTTCTTATGTCAAGATTAATTCATTCATGAAAGCAACTATTAATAGTAATTCGGGTATGGATAGCCATTATAAATTACTATTAAAGGAGCTACATATGGAATCTCTTGATAGAAAATTTGATATGAATGTTCACAACCTTTGTATAAATGAATAGTAATGAGTCAGATGGGTTAGGTCTAAATATTAAGGCCATCTGCAGATTTGGTCAAAGGTCACTAGTTGTAAACAGGGTTAGCGCTTAACCCTAAGCCACAGTGTCGTCAACAATCACATGCCCTAACCCTATTTACATCTTAATATTATCTAAATATTTTAAGGCCATAAGCAGATTTGGTCAAAGGTCACTAGTTGTAAACAGGGCTAGCACTTAACCCTAAGCCACAGTGTTGTCAACAATTACATGCCCTAACCCTATTTACATCTTAATATTATCTAAATATTAAGGCCATAAGCAGATTTGGTCAAAAGAACTACGTGTAAACAGGGCTAGCACTCAACCCTAAGCCACAGTGTTGTCAACAATAACATGCCCTAACCCTATTTACATCTTAATATTATCATAATATTAAGGCCATAAGCAGATTTGGTCAAAGGTCACTACGTGTAAACAGGGCTAGTGCTTAACCCTAAGCCACAGTGTTGTCAACAATCACCTGCCCTAACCCGATTTTCATGTCACAACCTTGACAAAATCTGTAGTTGGTCTTAATATTTAGACCTGACTAAGTTAGATGTGTGCAAAGTCATGATCTTCAGTTGTCAAGGTGAAGCGTGCAGTGGTCTTCTGTATATCCCAAGAGATAACAAGTATTGTAATAATATTCCTAGAAAATTAGGTTTTTGCATAACACGATAGAATGAAAGCGTACCGACCCGTAATGGTGGATGACTGTGAGAAGTGAATATATATTTAGTGTGGTCATTTTACAGAAAATGTCCCCAATAACGCACAAAGTTATAGATGATATTATGAAGATTAGTCAGATAATTTACTGATTATAAGATATCAGTGAGTTTTCTTTCCATGATCGTTGTGATTCTTGTATTGAATGAATGAATGATGGATCTTTATTTGTTTATTTAAAAGATATTCAAAAGTCTTTACTTTATCCTAATTTCAATTAATTTTACGTGTTCATTAATAATTTTTTGAAAGTTATTTTTGAGTTTGGTGATATTTTTTACAATTTTTTTTTTTCTCATTTATTTTGTACACCTAGAAGTAATACCAGGCTTTAAAAATTTTCTTGGATTTGACAAATGTTGTGATACTTAAAATTAATGATATATGACATATATAAGACATACACAATATTCACCCGGAGGTATTCAGAAGAAAAGAATAGCCTACAGTTGTCAAATCTAAGAGAGTTTTTGTTTGTTCTACAAATTGATTTAGATTTACAGATTTATTTTTTATTAATTGACAAAGCACAAATTTTGTTACAGATGTATTGAATTTATTTGTTCTCAGGAATTTTATGCAATTCTTTGTATATAGAAATTTCAGAAGTTAATATACACACACCTGCTGAAAGGCATATATTATGATATATTTGAAACCATCATTATAATTGTGTTGGGTTTTTTTTGTGTAACTTGGTTGTAATGAAATATGGATACAGATATGTAAATAGTATGGATAATTTTGAATAGTAAAAAGATTGAACACAGAAAATTTGTATTTGTTTTATTTTGAATTGGTTGTTATAATTTATGCAGTTTGTGGTGTAAGGGGAGATAATATAGCAATCAGGACATTTTGACAGAGTTCCCTCCCTTAATTTTTGTTTCTGAATGCTGTTTGTTGATTAATAAAGCCATGTACTTAATGTTTTAATTGATACCTGCCTGGTAAACACTAAAAAAATGTTTACAGGTACCTGTCCTTGTATGCAGGTTTTAATTAAGACGTATTACCTTTACATTGATCGCTCCCCGTGTTGGCCGAGAAATTTCATCGGGATTTTCCGATGTGGTTTCTCCTTGTGATTAGTGCAGGATGGAGGCCCTGACAAGGACAGCTGTCTAGATGGAATGAAAAACCAAGGGTCACATGTACACATTGGCATGCGCATAATAAATCCCTGGCAGTTGGGATTAAATAGAAGACAAGGCCATAGGGCCGCTGTCTGGGCAAAATTTTTGTCTAGCACACTGTATGGCATATGCCCATCTTCATTAGTCGAGTTGGAGCAGAACAGTAGGACGATAAACCCCATTTCATTTCCATTACATTAAAATGTTGATACGCTTGCAGGATAAGACATTTTTAAAAAATAAAATATATCTTTTTAAAATAAATTTTATTGCTTTGAAGATGGTATATAAAAACGCTTTTTAAATATAAATATAAAGAAATTAGTCATGTATCAATCAATAGCCTCCGTGTCTAAATTACTCGTCCATGCCACTAAATCATCTACTTCTTTTTCCCATGATTCCTCTTTTGCATGGAGAGAGGGTAGAGAATGTTCTAGAAGAATGTCTTGAGACGTAGGTACTGAAAATATTAATATAAACATTATCATATTTCAAGTCTAATAAATATATCTATGGTCCACTGCTGGTGGGGGTGGGGATTGGTGGTCTAATACTAATAAATATATCTATGGTTCACTGGGGGTAATTGGTGGTCTAGGGTCACGACAAGGCTTTCACTTAAATTATGGCATTCAGTCAAATCTTTAACTCAGATTTGCAAAAAAAAAAACTGTAAAGACTGCGACAATTTTTAGCTTTTTCCCAAACTACAAATTTAACTATATTTATATCGTGTAAATTGACTCATTAATAACTTCTCAAGCTGGTAGATTTCAGGACCCCAACACCCACATTCATTGCCTTCATTCAACACGTGATAGCTGCCATTTTGTTTTGAATTCTGTTCCAAAAATTAGCAAACGGTTTGATTTTTAAAGAGATATATTTTTTTTTTGTGTTTTAATATTTAATTGTATAATGAACATTATTTTACCAGATGTCGTTCCAAATATATGGGTAAAACTTTAACTAATAAGTAGTTTCTTTGTAGGGATGAAATCTCTTTAATATTTATGTAGTATGGCTCAGACAATAGGTTGAATTCCTATTTATACTTACAAGGAGAAACTCGTGGAGGTAGATATATTTTCTTCATTTTTTGTAATCTGGCTATTTTGGCTTCTTTTTCTTCTTCGAATGTAGGTTTAGAAGTAAATTTTCCATACATCAACATTGTGTGTCTAAAAAAATAGGATCATTATAAAAATACTTGAAATCATGTTTGGGTGGGTTGGGTGACTGAAGGGTTAATGCGTGCGCATTGCATCATAAGGTCTGTCACTTGGGTCACATGACAATAAGATGGGGTTCAACGTCCACTTGACACAAACTAGGTCATTTCGGGACTAAAATATGTTTCTATTTTATTTCAATAATTTGCTTGCTAATAGGGGTCTTTAACAGTGGGAGGAAACCGGAGGACCCAGAGAAATCCTATGAAGTTGGACAGAAGACTCTACTCCTTGTCACGTACAAGCGAGGAATCAAAACCAGGCCACTTGACTCAATGACAGACCCTCTGATCCTACGCGCACGCGTTAACCACCCAACCCGCCAATGAGCTATCCAAGTTTTCAATATTGTCTAAAATACTTACTCCTCTACTTGTCGTTTGATCTGTTCTTCTATATCATGTTGAGGTAATGCCATGTGGGTTTTCTGTAATTCAGGTCTATCTCTTAAATTTTCTAATACTATATATAGGAAGAAAAGATAAAATAAATTGTTTCAAAAGAGAGAGAAAGAGAGAAATGAGGCTTAACATCCACTGACACAAACCAGGTCATTTTGGACCAACACATGGTTCAATTTTACTTCAACAATTCGCTTGCGCGTAGGGGTCCTTAGCAGTGGGGGGAATCCGGAGGACCAGGAGAAAAACCACGAGGTTGGACAGGCGACCCTGTTCCTTGTCACGCAGAACCAGAGAGAGAGGGAGAGAAAATTGGGGTTTAACTTCCACACAACACAAACTAGGCCATTTTAGGACTAACACATGGTTCAATTTTATTTTATTTTATTTCCTTAGCAGTGGGTTGAAACCGGAGGACCCGACACATAGAACCGGGGAATTGAAACCCTGCCAGTTGACTAGGGTTAGGGTTAGGGAATGACAGACCTTATGATACAGTGCGCATGTGCTAACCATTTGGCCATCCACCCCCCCACCCAATGCCAATGGTATTCACCTCTATAAGTGATAAACAAATAGCGTTACTTACATGGATTAGTATCTGAGGGTTTAGATTTGGAGGTAGCTATACCACACCAAGTTGAATAATAATCTTCAAAAGATAATTTACTAATTTTTCTAGTAGGTTTAACAGGTTTACTTTCATCTATATATTTAGGTTCTACTGGTTTTATATTTCTAGGATCTTCAAGTGGTGCATTTTTTTCTACAATAAAAAAGGAAACAAATAATAACATAATCCTTGAGTGGCATTTAGCGATTGAACACATTAAAAAACACAACACAGTTTATATGGAAAAACAATCACTGGTTTATAAGTATAGCATGACGTTTCGACAAGTATTCTCTTATCGTTATCAAGCACAAATGATATTTAGTTAAGTTAGTGTTAGTGTTTAACGTCCGCTTCCACCGAAGGTGATATCGCAGAAAAGTTGTCTTTTTTTATTTTCATGATCTTAGCGCACGCGCAGGGGTCTTTCGTGTGGGAGGAAACCGGAGTACCCGGAGTAAACCCACGAGGTTGAGAAGGCGCCCCTATCTCCATGCCACATACGCTCACACCAGGGATCGAAACCACAGCCGCAAGCCAGAGGTGACCGGCCAGCTAGAGGTCGAAGCGTGACACTCTAGACCACTAGGCCATCCCAACCCCCCATATTTAGTTAAACTAAAAGGTGATATTTATAGTAAAACAAAAAAGAAGCCATAGTTAAATGCTGTTATAATACAAGATAATAGTTCAATTGATCAAAGGATAATTAAAATTTAATTAATAGTTTTTCCATATAAACTGTGTTGTGTTTTTTTTTAAATAATAACATAAAACAAGTCAACAGTGAGGTAGATGTCCCCCTCCTAAATCCCAACATAAAAAGATGACATACATTAATTTCTTGCACATTGATCCTATTATCATCAAGAGACAGAGGGAGAGAGAGAGAGAGAGAGAGAGGGAGAAATGGGGTTTAATATCCACTTCACAAAAACTAGGTCATTTCGGACTAACATATGGTTCAATTGTATTTCAATAATTCAATAATTAATCTGTAGCTACCCAACTCAGTGCCCCCACCAATTAAATGATTAAATGTGTCACTGCCAATGGAGAGAGAAAGAGAAATGGGGTTTAACATCCACTCAAAACAAACTAGGTCATTTCAGGACTAACATATGGTTCAATTTTATTTCAATAATTTGCTTGCACATAGGGGTTTTTAGCAGCGGGACGAAACCAGACGACCCAGAGAAAACCCACCAGGTTGGACAAGCGACCATACTCCTTGTCACGTACAACCAGGGAATCGAAACCACGCCAGTTGACTCAATGACAGAACTTATGATGCATCCAACCCCCTAGATCCCAACATAAAAAGATGACACACATCAATTTCTTGCACATTGATCTTATTATCATCAAGCAATAAAATTGTTTATAATCTAAGCAGAAAATACTCATTATCACACTTAGTCAAAGTAAACATGTAATGAAATATACACCAAGTTCCACCACTCCCCCATCAGAAGTAGAGTTATTGTGTTCTAAAATCTCGACCAGTCAAATTGCTTATTTCTGCTCATCGAACTCAAAAAGAGTTTCAAATAAAGAACAATGGCATCAAGTTTGAACATCTTATCTTTATTTGAAGCAGATTTATTGTATCTCAAAAAGGTTCATTAAATCATTAAATGGCCGGACCGTTCTAATCTACATAAAATTGGAAGACAAGCAATAGGCAGATTTAGCTCTAGCATCCAAAGGCATCTAGAGTCGATTATGGTCTTGTCATATTAATAAATGGCTAATTATTAGTTTATATAACATTTAAGGCCTAAAGAAAGACAAGCAATAGGCAGATTTAGCTCTAGCATCCAAAGGCATCTAGAGTCGATTTTGGTCTTGTCATATTAACAAATGTCTAATTAATAATTTATATAACATTTAAGGCCCAAAGCAAGACCTGCAATAGGCAGATTTACCTCTAGCATCCGATGGCATCTAGAGTTGATTATAGTCTTGTCATGTTAATAAAAGTCTAATTAATATTTTATATAACATTTTTTAGGCCAAAAGAAACACCTGCAATAGGTAGATTTAGCTTTTACCTAATTATGGATTTACAATCATTACTTACCCTCTAATCTCTGACTAGCAGCAACACAATTAGCCGCCACCTGACGAAATCTTTTAGGATTCTCATTGATCATGGTTACAGCTTCTACATTAACAGCATTCCTCAGGTTAGGATTGGATAATAATGACTAGAAATAATATAATATAATATTTTAAGTAAAAATAAAATAAAATCAAGTACGTACAATCCAAACCATTAGACAAAATTCGAAGTCCTTACAAAAAACAGTATAGGCAAAATAGTGTAATCAGCAAAGGAACTGTTCACCGTGTACAATATACACAACGAACAGTGGTAATAGGTGTCCAGAACAGTAAGCTTACCCTGCCTGGCGCCATACCCACCATAGCTGTATCCAAACCATTAGATGGACCGCAGAAAAAAAAAAAATATTAATATCATTGAAATAGTATGTGGTGGTAAGCATTGTACTTGCTAAGGAGTAGGGTCGCCTGTCCAACCTCATGGGTTTTCTCCGGGTACTCCAGTTTCTTCCCACAGCTAAAGACCCCTACGTGCAAGCGAATCATTGAAATAATATTGAACCATATGTTTGTCCCAAAAGAAACTAGTTTGTGTCAAGTGGACGTTAAACCCCATTTCTCTCTCTCTCTCTCTCTCTATAGTTTTAATACATGTCTGTATTTGGTAAAATTTCTTTTCGGTAAAATCAATGATAAAAATATATAACCAACCTGTATGGATAATAACACAAACGATAGAGAATAACTTTTATCCCAGTTCTCTGGTTGTAAAAAATCTACACACGGTCGACCTGTTATTGCATCAACTTGAAAAGAACCAGAACAACTGGATTAGCATAGATATCAGATATTATTTAATTCTTTATTGAAATTGACAGGCCATTTTACATAAAAATAAAATCAAGAAATAGCTCTCATTCATGTTATCAACTCTCTTTCATGTATAAACCAATTGTAATTCAAAGAATTTGATATAAGATTCTCTGTTATTGGATTATATTTTGTTGATGGGATCAATTCTTGTTCATTCATGGGATCAATTCTGTTTTTAAAGATTCATTATCATGTAAGAGACAAACCTGCCTATTGCATGTTATGTTATATAAAATTATTTAGACATTTATTCACTTGACAAGCCCATAATCAACTCTCTAGATCATCGAATGACCGAGATATTAAATTGATTAGAACACCTGAGCCATTTAATAATATAACATTAAAATGGATAATCAAGACTTTGTTTATTATTGTAACAATGGTACTTGACAATCAAAACTATTTACGTCATAACTTTAAACACTCATACTTTCGCTCAGAATAAAGTAATTAGACTGAAATTTTCAATATATTCATTTTTAATTATCTATTTTTAAACTATTAGTGGTGTACTGTTAGTAAAGAAAGACTGAAGTATATTGTATGTTTTAACACATTTAGTATAGGTGTTAAAAGATTATAAATGTATATGGAATAACTAACAAGTTTAAAATGTATTTTATAAATGTATATAAAATAACTAACAAGTTTAAAATGTGTATTATAGGTGTATATAGAATAACTAACAAGTTTAAAATGTGTAATATATAGAGGATATTTGTCGTTTTAGAGTGAATAACATATTTTATTTCATCGAGAAGCAAGAAAACTTATATTTTCACGAATGCGTAGCATGAGTGAAAATATAAACGTTTTCTTGCTTAGAGATGAAATAAAATATGTTATTCACGACAAAACGACAAATGTTCTATTTATTTTATGATTTTACAATCATTTTAGGTAAAAACAACATGGACTACTGCTAGCCAGTGGAATAACACTTTTATTTCACTGATAAAACGCGGTATTCCACTACTGATCATAAAATAAAGGTGTATATAGAATAACTAACAGGTTTAAAATGTGTATTATAGATGTTAAAAGATTATAAATGTATATGGAATAACTAACAAGTTTAAAATGTATATTATAGGAGTATATGGAATAACTAACAAGTTTAAAATGTCTATTATAGGTGTATATAGAATAACTAACAAGTTTAAAATGTGTATTATAGGTGTTTAGATTACAAATATAGAATAACTAACACATTTAAAATGTGTAGCATAGGTGTTGATTATAAATATTATAAATAGATTATAAATATGGAATAACTAATTATAACTAACAAGTTTAAAATGTATAGTGTAATATACCACACTTACTGTTAGGATGAAATGGAATACTGTGGAAACATAAAGATGGTGGATGTAAATTATAATTCTCATCAAATCTGATATAAACTCTAAATAAACCTCCTGAAAAATATCAATATTAATCCATGAGAAATCTATAATGGTAAGTGAAATTGTTGTTTGAAATAATATTATTTGATAAATTTAAGAAATTGAAGACCAGACAATATTATTAGATTATATTGGGTGTTAAAAACATGTTCATAGAAAACTCATTGAACAGGGGAGCCACAAAGCACAGTGAGTATAACACTCACTAGCCAAGGAGTTGGATTCTAATGTCGGCCAGGAGAGTTCCCCAGGAATTTCAAGTGCGGTTTCTCCATGTCATTCAGTGGTGTAAGACAGATGTTTTGGCAAGGAACAGCATCTGTTCATTCGGACGAGATGAAATTTTGAGGTCCCATGGACACATTGGCGTGCATGCTAAATAACTCTTGATTGTATGTATTCAATGAAGAAAGAAGGGTTGGATGGCCCAATGGTTAGTGAATGTGCGCAGTTTCATAAAGTCTGTCACTGAGTCAAATGGCGTGGTTTCTATTCCCCGGTTGTATATGACGAGGAGTAGGGTCGCCTGTCCAAACTCGTGGGTTTTCTCTGGGTCCTTTGGTTTCCTCCCACTGCTAAAGACCCATACGCGCTAACGAATTATTAAAATAAAATTGAACCACGTTAGTCCCGAAATGATCAAGTGTTTGTGTCTAGTGGATGTTAAACCCCATTTATCTCTCTCTCTCTATGTAGAAAAGGTGGAAACGTTGCAGTCGGGGTCAAATTTCCCTCATAGCACACTGCTAGGCATATGCACATCTCCATTAGCCTAGTTGGCACAGAAAAGAAAACCACATTACATTTCATTTAATGGTGCTATCGCAAAGTAGCAAAGGAATAGAAAAAAAAAATACATCAAACTTTTCTTACCTTCCCATATCGTGTTTTTTAAACCTCTAATTTTAGCAACAAATTCATAAATATTATCATCCTGTAAGGGGAACAACTCAATACCCTGACAAAGATAGGAAAATAGACAAATCATCATTATTTTTTAAAACTACACAGATAATTTTTAATAAAAGATAAATCATGGGTGCTTGTAGTTAGGCAGTCTTTTTTATTTTGCCGAATTTTTATATTGTTATTTACGTACAGCCTGGGCCTTGGGCCTAACCAATAATTCAAGATTCTTTTAGTCACGATATTTGGAAAATTTAAACTCGCAACTTCTCTGAGTATGGTAATTAAAAGTCGTATTCAATCCAAAAGTTTATTATTAATTTGTTTCCTGTGATATTTACATTTTATCAAAGTTCATAAACTTACCCAAGGTGGATCATTTAGAAATTTTGTATAGTCTCTTTCAATTATTAAATGTGCTTTGGAAAACATGATCGACACTTAAAACAATTTTTTATTGGTGAACAGGAATTTTCTGGATGGTTCTTATTTCTGGCTATTCTTTGTACTGACAGTGTTTTGTATTTCTAAGACCTGAATGGTAGAAAAAAGGTTAAAAAATAAAATTATTTTCGAGAATGAGAAAAAATATGTCATCAAGTATGTCTACTAAAACATAATATGGAAGTACTGTATGAACTTGTACCTGGCATTTTGAACTTTGTGCCAGACGTATTTTAAACATTATTATGACCGACGTAAGTCATATGATGAGTTCTATATATGAAAAAGCTATGTTCTATGATAAATTTCCCATTTTGAACTTTGTGCTAGAAGTATTATAAATATCAATAAAAACTAGTGTTGAAAATTGGAACGAGATTTGTGATCCGAATACTTTTGTTTGCTATTCGAATACTATTCGGATAATTCGGAAACGTGAAATTCTTGAACAAAATCACATCAAAAATTCATATACTCATAATTTCTTACTTATTTCAATGTTTATGAGTGTCTGTGTATGCCTAGTATGAAATTTTAGTTCCGATTTGCAAACTGTTTGAGCCGCGAAGAAAAAAAACGTGCCTACCTTTAGCCGCAATCCATGATATCCAAAAAAATCAATGAGGTAAATAAATTTGTGTATAACTACTCCTGTAATCCGCGACCCTCCTACTGATCATTTTTGCTCAATCAACACGAATGAAAAAAGTAAAATAAAAACATCTGACATTTATTCCGCCAAGGTCGTTTGCCTCATTCTGATAATCTACTGCTATTGAACCAATCAGTAAGTGAGAATATACGTGACCTAGGTCGTTATGAATAAATTTCATTGCGGGAAGCCTAAGCACAGTGTTAACACAGAGTAAACTGTGGTGTTAACCTGTATCCTGTAAACCCAAGAAGTAGCTTCTATCTAGCATAAACCAGCGCAAGGAATGAATGAATATTTTTTTATTTAGACTACTGTTTTCATTGCACTGCATTAATATTTTTATTAGTTACTTTCGCTAAATAATACGTGTGATATTAACATTTGTGCTCAAAGCTGCGTACGTGATGGAAAATTTCAAAGTAATCAGATGTAAAAATGGCTAAATATAGAGCATACAGAATGTCAGAAGAGTGTAACGAATAGTAAAATGATTCAGATAACCCTTATTTTGTATCCGTTAACGGATATCCGAATAGTAGTTTCAACACTAATAAAAACACTGATAAAAGACAAATCTGTGATTGACACCAGAGGGATTGTGTCTGACAAAGTCCAATCTGATTAAAACACAGATCCTATTTCGTTGTTGTTTTTATTGTTCAAAATTTCGTTTTACTTGTTTTTACTACACTAGGATCTGTAAGAGTTGTTATATAACCTGTGTTCTGGTTGATGTGAGGGATTAGCCAATTTAACGGTCTGTTGCAGCGAGTTCTTGGCATGCGATGCACGGAACTGTGGGTATCCTACAAGAAAAATCAATGCTGATCGGTTAATCAAATGTCTGACTTCATAGGGTCAAAAATCGCTTTATGACCCCTGATGCGACCTCCCACTACAACTGGTCAGATCTTCATGTAGTAGAGGCCATCGAAAGTATAAAAAATGAAACGAAATATCGATCTGTATATTAATAAGATTGGACAAAGTCTGAATTAGTGCCAGACATTGTCAGTGATTGATGCCTTACTTCCTGGCTTCATAATGGACTATAGTAAAAATACTACCAGTTACATGAAGTCGATCCTTTAATTCAAGAAAAATAGTAGGCCTATAGGCCCTACTGGTAGTTTCTTTGATTGTGCATGAATTGTTTTCAGCTAAAACGTTGCAGACAATCTCTTACTAAGTCTCCGTCTTCATTAGCCCAGTCGGAGCAGAACAGTAGGACGTTAATTAAACCCCATTTCATTTTATATCTTACTAAGTCTAGATACAGTCATTTTCATTATTCAAATGATACAAATTTGCACACCGTTATCTAAATAGACGAACACATGCATATTTATGCAGTAGGCCTATAATATAAGCATAAATAAACTAGCCTCTCTCATTTAGAATGAGATTGAATTGGGTTGATCTGATGTGCTATTTTGATTAGTGATAGGGAGACCTCTAGACTTCCATTAAAAGTTTTATTTCTAAAGATTAAGAGGATGCCAGCTTATCTCAAAGGAAAATAAATAGATCAACGCACATCCAGTAAAATCAACTACCAGTAGGCCTACTGTTTTTGTTGTAGCTGGGGAAGGTGGTTACCAAACTCAGTACAGCTCAGCCTATTGAATTGAATTGACTGTTAATTGTATGCAAGTCAATGATGGTCATAGATGGTCTTCAATTTGACCACTTTCAATAACATACAACATTCAAACACTTCATTGCATTTAGGCTACATGGATTATTCATTAATATTAGTGAATTTCTTGGATATTTGCTACTGCTTTAATTTAATTTAATTAAAGGAGCTAAGTCACTAATATTTGGGACCTAGAAATTGACACAAATAGGTCGCAACGCATACAATAATGTAATATTAATGTATATAAATTGATTTACATTCAAACGTTTCTGTTTTTACTGTAATTTTTAATCAGTTAGGTTCGGCGAAATACGCCAGTATTCTCAATCAAATTTCAATCTCTAGCGTCTGGTTATTCCAGTCTACGCCGATATTATTTATTGGGCTTGCTCTCCAGACAAGAATATAGCGTCACCCTTTGACATGACTTGTGGAATATGCTTAGCCTCGTTTTTCGAGTCCCTTATTACAAATAGCGCTGAAACACATTATGGTACACAATTCGTGTACCAATTGTAAAATGTTTATTTTGTCTTAAATATTGGATATCAAAAGGCCATCTTTTCCCAATAAGATTACAACATCAATGTTGATTTAAACCGACAAATAAATCGTGTTTTCAATGTCAAAGATTTTGGATGATATTGAGTTAAAGACTTATTAGGCGCTACTTTAATTGAGCAGTGCTTATAAAGTCAAAATTATTGCACTATGGTACTAGACTAGATATTTAAAACAAGATCATGCTTACCAATTCACTTTTAAAAGCAACTTTACTGCCAAAGTCATAGATTAGTATTTTCCCTTGGAAATATTTGTAAATGATTTAAATTATAGAAAAGACTTCAAATAAGTCAAAACTTCATTCTTTGCCAGCCATATTGTTTATCTTCGATACACTACACAACGCATGCGCATATTCAATAACATCCGGTGATAACAACACGTGCTTTTGTTTACGTCTGCTGTCAAATTCGTGACACGTTAAAACCGTTAGACGAGTGAATTCGACGACAAACACAAGTGGCACGTTATTTCTGACTGGGTTTTAGAAACATTGAACAAGTTGACATTAAAAAAAAAATTCAGTATTCAAATTTTATCGATCGACTGTGGTAAGCCTATCCCAAAAATAAACCTTTTTCTGAGGGCTTATTTTCGTGAAGATTTTGATATGCCGAGGCCTTCTTTACATTTTCCAAACCATGCCTTCCTAAACCGAACTTCCTCGACCACATGTTTAGACTGGTCCAGTCCAATTTTAAAATAATAATTTTAAAATGCTTGCACCAGTAGCCTAGGCCTAATATAGACAATAAAAATATGAAAAATATGACCTACTTTGCATATCAAATGAATCGCGCACACGTTATGCGTCTGTCATGTCTTGTGCTGTAATAATTTTTAAAAAAAATGATATTACTTAAAAAGTCAAGAATTATTTAAACGCTGGGTCCATTTATCTAAACGACAATAACAAGATGAATTCCAACATTTTTACCATCACTTCGTAAAGCGTAAGAGGAAAATCGGGTTTTGTGGTGGAAATTTCACTAGCCGTGGATATCACATTCTGGTTTCGGTTCTCGACAAGGAGTAGAGTCATCTGCCAAACTTTGTGGGTTTTATCCCCACACCCCCACGCTTCTGATTACCCCAACGCGCAAACGACTTACTGAAATTATTATTATGTCAGTTCCGAAATGATCTATTTTGTGTTCAGTGGACGTTACCCCCTCCCCTCTCTCTCCCCCTCTCTCTAGTACCCAAACGATCATTTTTTAGCAACCATTGCTATAAGATAAAATCAACTGTTATGGATATATTGTCATCATCACGTCTGAATAAATTAATATTCACTCGTTGTGCAGCCGGGGGTTTGTTTTGATAATCAAGCCCGGGTGTTTCGTGCACGTGGTAATTTGCATAACAAAGCTTGCTAGACATGTCGTCATTAATTTAGGATACCTTGCAAAACAGAAGCGCAAACGGTTAACGATCATAAATACAATGTTGACAATTAAAGATTCTAGCGGTACTCACCCAGACCATGTCGAACAGATCACACCGCCAAGATCTAAGAATCAGAAATTAGTGGACCGTCGAATAGATCTGTTTTATAAGTCTACAAAGTCAACCAATCTAAAGACCAGATCAACAAAACGGTATAGTGATCAGTAATTATTTTTACCTCATGGCTGGTTCACTCGCTTTGATCATAGCGGATCAACTTACGAAACCTTCCCAAACAAATCCAGCTATTTCTTTTTAGCTTTGCTGTCTCTGAAGTGCGCACATGACGCAAAATGGGCCACGTTGGTCGATCGGTATAGAGCATTGGCTTGTCGTCTGGAATGTCACGGTTTCGAATCCGGGTATTAATCCCACCAATTTTTAATCCCGGTTCTTACGAAGCTAAGTGACTATTCATTCGGATGGTACTGAAATTCGTGGCGTGCACGTATGAGAACCCGTAGCATTTTAAATTTGATGAAGAGTATAGACAGAAACCAGACAAAATTCCCGCCCTCGCATTGCACAAGTATACCACTGAAATTAAAAAATACCATATATTAGTTTCAGAATTTAACCCCATTCTAATTCACATTTAATTGCAATTTTCGATAAAGCCGTAAATTGTCTTTTGAGGGATTTCAAATATCTTGCTAACTATACTATTATTCGGAAACAAGAGGGGAAACGGCAACACTCAGAGGCTGGACTGCAGGCCGGTAGATCTGTGTAACTGTTGGGTCAAACAATTATACCTGGGACGAGAGCAGACATTAACAGATATTTAAAAATCCCACGTAACAGCAGTACAAAAACAGACTTTGGTTGAAATGAGGGGTGGTTTATTCATCGTTTCGGGTATTTTAAACTCTTTCAATTCTAGTATATTTTGAACTGGTGTTGTTGTGCGGGGATTTTTAAATATATTATAGAGTTATGATGATGTAAAACTTTTGCCAAATTGGGCATCGTCTACAGACGAGAATCGTAAGGCAGTCATTCGATGGCCCCCTTTAAATCCTATTGAATCCTACCATTGCGGCGGGTTGGGTGGCCGAAGGGCCTGGCAAGGCCTGTGTCTTGTCATTCGGATGGGAGAAAAAACCGAGGTCCCGTGTACACGTTGTCGTGCACGTAAAAGAGCCCTCGACAGATGAAATTCGATATAAGGTTAGGTCGTCTGTACGTTTTCATTAGCCCAGTCGGTGCAGAACAGTCGAATCTAAAGCCCCATTTCCTTTGCAGAAATATTGGTAATTATGAGAAGACCCCTACATCTGGTAATGACAAGTTTCCATATAGGCAGAAGACATTGTCACCGTGGATTATTAAAGGGAATACTTATGGAAAAACCTGCCACACTCCGCGAAGAAGACGTCGCCGAAAACCATCTACTCCAAAGAGAAGTGCTTCTTCCAATGACCCAGATTTTCGAGGTGCCACGGTATGGTTCAATCGACCAACAACTCAAGATGGACAGGGCAACCAACTCATGATAACCTCGTGCTTTAGGTAAAAAAAATAATAAGAATGCAGTTTGAAAATGAATATCAGTATTATTATCTGGGTATAATATGGGGGTGGGGTGGTTAGCACGTGCGCGCTGTATCATAAGGTCTGTTATTGCAGTCAACTATCGTGGTTTCGATTCCCCGGTTGTGCGTGACAAGGAGTAGGGTCGCCTGTCCAACCTCGTGGGTTTTCTCCGGGTCCTCCGGTTTCCTCCCACTGCTAAAGACTCCTATGCTCAAGCGGATTGTTGAAATAAAATTGAGTCATATGTTAGTCCTGAAATGACCTAGTTTGTGTCGAGTGGACGTTAATCTCTGTCTCTGTCTCTCTCTCTCTCTCACTCACTCTCTCTGGTATTATATCTAGGTGTTTAGAAAGGGAATCGAAGTAAATAAAATCGGTTAATTCTGTGTACAAGGCTCGTTTTCCTAGTTCCAAGCATGTATCTGTTATACGTTTTTACTCTTATATTTATTTCTAGCAATACAAGTCACCACAAGATGTTAAAAGCTAGAAAAACACACCCACACGATTCATTCTCCGATTCTAAGTCTAGTTCTGAAAATGAGGAACTTCAAGGAAACGCGACTTTCCCAATAGGCTTAGGTAAGTACATGTACAATGTCTTTAGTCTAAGTGTATTGGACACTTTGTTAATCTTTAAACAACTCACAACTCAAGATGCACAGGGCTAAATCTATTTGTTAAGGCTATTTGTCACGCATACCTAGATGTAAATAATGTAAGGCCACGTGATTTTTGGTGAGATTGTAGGTTAGGGTTACGGTAAGCATTGGGGCTAGGTTCGGGGTTAGGGATATGATCAACACTAGCCATGTTTATATATCGTGACCTATGACGCAAAATTAAGCTGGCCTTATCATTTAGTACTAACCAGATGGACAGGGCAACCAGCTTATAATAAACCTAATGCTTTAAGTCAAAATAAAGAATACTGATTGACAATGGCTATCAGTATTAGTAACTTAGTACAATATCAACTTTTATTAAAAGTCTAGTCTAGGTTAGATACACAGGCAATATGTTATATATTTTAGTCCATGTGTATTGTATTTGTGGTATTTTGGTCCATGTACATTATGTATAACGGTGGTATATTGCATATGTGGTATTTTGGTCGATGTATATTATATATAACGACGTTACATGGATATTATATGGTATTTTGGTCTATGTATATTATGTATAGGCCTAACGGTGGTATATGGTATATTGGTCTATAATATAAATGAAATGGAGTTTAACGTCCTACTGTTCTGCTCCGACTGGGCTAATAAAGACGGGCATACGCCATACAGTGTGCTATGGGTCAAATTTTGCCCGGACAGCGGCACTACGGCCTACTTTTATATCGAATTCCAATTGCCAAGGGATCTTTTACGTGCAAGCCAATGTGTACACGGGGCCTCGGTTTTTCGTACCATCCGAACGACTATACCTTGTTACTTGCCAGACCCTCTGTCCTGCTTCACTGACAAGGGGGAACCACGCCGGAAAATCTGGATGAAATTTCTAGGCCAATGCAGGGATCGAACACCCGACCTCAAGGTGAGCGAACCAACGTCTTACCCGCCCAACCGGTCTAGAATATAACGACGTTACACGGACTGTTAGTCTATATTTTAGTCTAGATATATTCAATAACCACCGTTCATATAATAGTGTCTGTATGCATGTTGGATATTAACGGTAATATATTTTATTTTTGTCTATTGGGTATTACCAATCGTATATTATATTGTTAGGTGGTATTATAATGGATGTATGTATTACCTAATTATCAGATTCTTATCTCTGCGTATTGAGCAGTAGCGGGTATATATTGTGTATTGTGTATTACGGCTATGTACGAGTTGTTGTTGTTAGTTAGTTGTATTTTACGTCCGCTTCCACCGAGGTGATATCGCAGACAAATAGGGGATCACGGTGGCTAAGTGGGTAAGGCGCTGGCTCGCTAACCTGGAGGTCGGGTGTTCGATCCCTGCATTGGCCGAGAAAGTTCATCCAGATTTACCGGCGTGGTTCTCCCTTGTCAGTGATGCAGGGCAGAGGGGCTGACAAGGACAGCTGTCTCGTTGTTCGGATGGGACGAAAAACCGAGGTCCCGTGTACACATTGGCGTCCACGTAAAAGATCCCTTGACAGTTGGAATTCGATATAAGAGTAGGCCGTAGTGCCGCTGTCCGGGCAAAATTTCCCTCATAGCACACTGTATGGCGTATGCCCGTCTTCATTAGCCCAGTTCGGAGCAAAACAGTAGGACGTTAAACCCCATTTCATTTCATTTCATTTCATTTCATGCTATGTACGAGTATTATCGACGGTGTATATTCTGGGCTATGTATATCGAATATTAACGGCCGTGCATATTCAAGTCTATGTATATCCAATCGTAACGGCTGTGTATATTCAAGACTATGTATATCAAGTGGAAACGGCCGTGTATATTCAAGTCTATGTATATCGAGTTGTAACGGTGTATATTCTATGTATATCGAGTGGTAACGGCCGTATACATTTGCAACACAGTACCGACAACTACGATTTGGTAGTCCCGAAGAGGGCTTGTTCAAAGTGTTTGTATATTCAAGGCTACATTATATTCAATCAGACAAATGGTAAAATGTCCCATAATCCTTCCAGGCCCGTGTTTTAAGGCTAAATCTATTTTTTAAGGTCAGATAAATTTTCGTCAAGGTCGCTGAGATGTAAATAAGGGATACGTGATTGTTGGGGAGATTGTTGGTTATGTTCAGGGTAAGCATTGGGGCTAGCGCTGTTTACTTCTCGTGACCTTTGACCAAACTTGAATTTGGCCTTATCAAATAGATCTAACCATATATTTAATGTTTTTTAATATACATTTTATTATTTACATGTTACATGCTGTTAAATTAATATTCCTGTAAAAGAAATCATTTTGTTTTCAGGTAAAACATGTGCGTCTTGTAATACCAGACGCACGCCGTTATGGAGAGATGCAGAAGATGGAACACCCTTATTTAACGCTTGTGGTATACGGTAAGTTAACATTTATCTTGGAGCCACGATGGCCCAGTGGGTGAGGTGCTTGTTCGATCTCTGTGTTGACCGAGAAAGTTCATCGGATTTATCGGCGTTCTCCCTCCCTCCCTTGTAATTGGTACAAGACAATGTATTGGATATTATGATCTTATAGTTTCACAGCAAGATAACATCATCATTATTGAGTAAAACGGCGAATTTGTACTACATTGACTATGGATTAAAACATTTTGTCTGTAGCCACTTTGCTTCGGGCGGTATTTTTCGGGCATCGATCATGTTTTATCAATTGTTCGGGAATCATAATTTCTTTAAATTGACTAATAGATTAAAATTTAAAACATTTAAAATCAGTGTAATAAACAGTGTCTATATATGAACAGTGTTTTTCGAGCATCATAAATGTGTCTTTATGAATTCGACATAGTTAATAACTTATGATGTACAGTTGTGTCTTAATTGATTATTATTTTGTTTTGAAGGTACAGGAAATACAGAGTCCGTTGTACTCAGTGTTGGCACATACCAAAGAAATCCAGCAAGATGTATCCAATATGCCCACTCTGCGGCAGCTATCTCAAATACTCTCAGAACCGAAAACTATCCTAATATAAATGTTTTTAGATATATTTATAAACGAAAAATCCTTAATTGTGTTTTAGAATTTTTTTTTTTTAGGTTTATTCGAACTGAAAATCAAGAGCGGGCAGCATTCATTATGCATTTTGTAGGCTATACAATTTCCAATGGAACATTATTCGGCAAACATTTTGACTTTGAATTTTACATATACGGTCGATATTCTTAAATTTAAATTTGTACATTTTACTTATACAATTAATTCATTTTTGTATTTTATTCATATTGTAAATCATTGGTTTTATATTCAAATTATTGTATCTTAAAAATTTTGGATTCGGTGATTGGAGTTGTTTCCCTTGTGATTTTTTAATGCCGAGAAAAAATTATTTGTCCGACTAATAACGATGATTATAAATTGATCTAAATTATAATGTATCATGTGTTGTACATGAATTATATTTTATTTGGAGTTGTCAGTTCACTTAGTCTTATAGAATTCTTGATATTTTAGTCAGTTCTCGAGTTTTAGTGTAAAAATTCTACACATTATGTTTTGTTTAATTTTATTATTAAGGACAGACGACAGAGAGTTTTGTTATGTTTGAAATTATTATTCCCCCATTTCTTATTGTTTATATTTGTTAATTATTTGGAATTAAAGCAAAATTCCTGACCAGTATTTATTAATTGTGATATTGTTTTGTATTTTAATACATGAAAATTTGTTCATGTAGATTGTCAAATAAAGTTAAACGCTCTATATATTATTATGTTCTTGTTTTTTTTTGTCCCAGCTTGTCTGCGATATCACCTCGGTGGACGCGGACTTTAAATAAAGCTATTCCACACACTCTTATCCCAGTTTGTCTGCGATATCACCTCGGTGGAAAAGGGCATTAAGTAATGCTATTTCACACACACACTTATCCCATTAATTGACATTTTAGAAGCTGTCAGCTGCCAAGAGCATAACCAAACCAAACTTTATCTGATAGACAATACCTCTCTTTCGGACTTATGATAGTAAATGAAAATGAAATGAAATGGGGTTTAATGCCCTACTGTTTTACTCCGAACTGGGCTAATGAAGACGGGCATACGCCAAACAGTGTGCTATGAGGGAAATTTTGCCCGGACAGCGGCACTATACGGCCTACTCTTATATCGAATTCCAACTGCCAAGGGATCTTTTACGTGCACGCCAATGTGTACACGGGACCTCGGTTTTTCGTCTCATCCGAATGACTAGACAGCTGTCCTTGTCAGACCCTCCGTCGACTTAAGATAGTATATAACATACTGAAGTACGACTGAAAAAGTAATTCTTTGAATTTAATTATTATATTTCATGTCCAAAACGTCACACCTTGACAGGACCGTCGAGATCGGTCCCCATAATAATTTGCCAACATGTGTTTATTAGTGTAAACATAGTCTCGGGGACTCGTCGAATTTATTGTTGCTTCGCTATACCCCCCCCCCCCATTTCCCCAATATTATACGTCGTGAATGCAAAGGTGCGGTAATAATTTGACCAGGCAGCGGCGGTTAACCGATTAAATTCCAACATCCAATGTTAAATGACTCAAGTCATTCACATTCGGGACCACAATATATCTTTGTACTATCTGTCCATAGTTTTCAAGATCTAAACAGAGCGATCTTTTTTTTAAATCTGAACCTTAAAGGGACTATGCCGAATTGAACAGAGTCTCAAAAATAAAATTCCGAGTACGTATGAAATTTAAGCGCCAAAATATAAAGGAATGGTGTATTTACCCTGTCTCAAAATTTCAGCTCAAAATATTGAGTCATTTGGACGTGAACGTCAAAACTGCTTATCCGGACACGTAACCCTTTTAAGATTTTGGGTCAATTCTTTCGTTGGGTGACCTGATAATCGATTCCCGTTCCTTTAGGGGCTTATTCAGTTAATGACCCATGTGCTGTACTTGATAACGAAAGG